GTTGGCGTCTAGGTTGCCACTTGTGCTGCACAGGCTCTAGTATGGCGTTCCTTACCTTGTTGCCATTTTATCATCTCTACCACAGAAGTTTCTGTGAAGTTCAGTATGAACGCACTTTCTGTGACTAGTTAATTAATACCTGATGGGAGAACTGGTTGAGCCTTTGGGTGTGTGTGCTGCTCACCTTCTACATGTTGGATCACTCAATTGCTGCATGCGTCACTCACCTAGATCTTTCCAAAGATGTGTCCAGAAGCATAGTTTCAGAACACAAAAGAGAATCCAAGACTTAATATTCAATGCAGACATTTTTTTTCTTTTTAAAAAGTATTTTAAATTTTCTAAAAGGACCTAATTATTCTTGCCACATACATATCCAGTGTTTCTGGCTGCTGATCAAGAAGATCCCAGCCCTTAATAATCTCAATTGACAGTAACACTTCATTGTGTCAGGTTACTGGTTATTTGGTATAACTGGTTATAAGTTATTATTACTGTGATTTTATCCTTAATCTTGCTCCTGTTTGGTTAAATTTAACAGAGGAGACTATCGAACTGGGAAGCGACTGAACATGCGGAAGGTCATTCCATACATTGCCAGTCAGTTTCGGAAAGACAAGATTTGGCTTCGAAGGACCAAGCCCAGTAAACGGCAGTATCAGATTTGTCTGGCTGTCGATGACTCCTCTAGCATGGTAGACAACCATACCAAACAGGTGAGGAGGAGAAGCGTAGTGGCAGTTTGATGGGCCACCTGAATGTTTTAAATATGTTCTGGCGAAAAAACACTTTGAAATGCCAGTTAGTTTGTTCTGAGAATATGAGACCATATTTGAGAAGATATAAGATTTTAAAAGTTCAAAGGGGCAATTTCAGGACATCTCAAAAAATTTTGGTGTTTTACTGCTGTAGGTCGTTTAGATTGTTGTGTTTCTTAGCATGGCCATGCTATTGTCTAGTTGCAGAGTAAGTAAATTTGTCAGTGTTTACTTTCCACTGAATGAATGTACTATATTCTTTTAAGACGTAATATCTGAATATCCCTGATTTTTTTTTTTATTTTTGGCGGTACGCGGGCCTCTCACTATTGTGGCCTCTCCCGTTGCGGAGCACAGGCTCCGGACGCGCAGGCTCAGTGGCCATGGCTCACGGGCCCAGCCGCTCTGCGGCATGTGGGATCTTCCCGGACCGGGGCAGGAACCCGTGTCCCCTGCATCGGCAGGCGGACTCTCAACCACTGCGCCACCAGGGAAGCCCTGAATATCCCTGATTTTTTAAGATGTCTTCAGTACACGTTTCTTTACGTCTGTGTAGAGTTAGTGTTCTATCAGTAGTAACAAGGCTTAGGAGCCTGGGTGGAGTTACGACCCCCCCACTCCCCCCGCCGTCAGGGACGTGGAGAGTTGGGGGGTCTTCGCAGTGATGCTGTTGCCCAGCACAAGTCAGCGAGCAGCCTGAAGGCTGTGCACAGGCTCTGCTGGAAAAAGTGTAACCTCTGCACCTGTGTTCAGGTCTCAATTCCCCACTTAGCACCGCATGACTTTGGGCAGTTCATTTTGTGAGTTTTACCTTCTGAAAAAATGATTATAACAATACTTACTCAAGCTCAGAGCTGAAAAAATGATTATAACAATACTTACTCAAGCTCAGAGCTGTTATGAGACTAAGTGAAGTCATGTATGCAGAGCACTCAGTTTAGTGCCTGGCACTTGATGCATGTTCAACAGATGTTAGTTGCTACAAGTATCGTCGTCTTTTTAACTGAATTTAAATTCTGAAACTATACTGTCATTTATGCATAGATTAGAATAAATTGGTTTTTAAAATCTTTTACCCGTGAGAGATTACTTTATATAGTCAAAAAAGGGGGAAGAAACCTTAAAAATTTATGGACCAAATTTCTCAAGATCACTTTTATTGGATGATGTCTAGAGCAGACCTTTCCTACTAGTATAAAGGATATTGGGTTTCGGCACTTGTGCTATTAGCCAGGGCCTAAGGCTACCAAAGCCACCAAAGCCTCTGAGTTGGTTGTGAATAGCCATATTGATGTTGTTCCCCTGTGTGCCATAACAAAAAAGTAGTGTTTTCTGTGGGAATCTTGGTATAAAAAAGGTTGAAAGGCATTGGTGTAGAGGATATTCCGATTTCTTCAACCCTTCACTTTCTGCTTCACAGCTTGCCTTTGAATCTCTGGCTGTGATTGGAAATGCTCTAACCTTTCTGGAAGTGGGTCAGATTGCGGTGTGCAGGTAAGAGTGCCTTTTAATCCCATTGGGAAAGCCAGCCTTTTTTTGCATGACAAAAAATAACTCCCATTGTATTTGGGTTTTCTCCCCCAAGTTTTGGAGAGTCCGTAAAGCTGTTACACCCATTCCACGAACAGTTCAGTGATTACTCAGGGTCCCAGATTCTGCGGCTCTGCAAATTCCAACAAAAGAAAACCAAGATTGCTCAGGTATGCTGATGACTTCAGATGTCTTCTGCAGTCATTTTATGGTATAGGAGAGACATAATTTTTAGAACTCCCTCCTCCCCAGTGTGGTAAAATTTACAGAAGAGAATAGTCCTAAGCCTCAGCTGGTGTACCCAGTGGAATAGAATCTCCCTTGGCATCCCTTGTTAAATAGGATGTGATCTCTTTTTCTCAGTTTTTCAAAGATCATTTGACTTTGCATCATTGATTTTCTGGCTCCCTATTTTGAGAGGTTTGGAACATTTTGGAAAAATGAACCACCTCCCAGTACCCTTATCAAGTGGGTCAAGGCCAGTTTCTCTCTACCATTTAGCCTAGAGAAGATGATGTGAAATGAAGCCAGTGCTTGCTCGGCATGGCGTACGTTCTAAACACAGCATATGGGGTAACAATTCTGTCCTCCTGGTTCTTGGCGTAATTTAGCCTCCTTCACGTTACACTGGATATTTTATGTTTTCTTGCCTTCTTTTTTTTTGCTCAGCTGTTTTCCTTTCTTGAAAGAAGACAGCTCTTTGGCTCATTTGGGGGATTACTGACTTCTTGTCCCCCAGAGGAAGTGTTTCTTTTCCTTTGGGGTGTCTCGTAGAACACTAGTGGGGTATATGCCAGGGACACAGGTCTTGTCTGTGCTTGAGAATGCCAGCGCCCAACGTAAATGCCAAGTGCAAGGATTGTCAGTCCTTTACGGATGGATTGGAAGGGACAGTTTGATTGCTATAGATTTGAGATGGTTATCTGATAATCACTAAGTGCCAGAAGTAATTTCAGTCTCTGTGATAGTGGGAAGAGAGCTTAAATAGTTTTCTAATTGTCTATTTCTGGTTTAGTTTCTAGAGTCTGTAGCCAACATGTTTGCAGCCGCTCAGCAGCTCTCACAAAACATCAGTCCAGGTGAGCTGCGTTCTTTGGTCTTTGCTAATAACACGCTTTTCTGTTCTCGTACTATTTGCAAGTTGCTTTTCATCTCAGTGTACCCATCACCATCTTTTAAAGTGTAAGCTCTATAGGAAAACACATAAACGGGATGACGCAGAGGTATTAAACATTCATGGAATTCTTTACTCACCTGTTCATTCATTCAGAAACTTTTATTGAACACATACTCAAGAGGCTTATAATCAAAGGAGAAGGTAGACACCAACTAGTTTGTAATTACCTAGTATATATTTGATAGATTTGAGTTCAATTGTGAATGAGAGGAGTAAGGGTGTGTGGAATTAAATGTAAAGAGTATTCTTCAATATTTTAATAACAAAGGAAAATGGAGAAGGACATAATTCAGAAACCAGCTAATCCATCCATGATTGATTTGGAGCTTTTGCAGCACACCAGTTCTTTAGCCTTTCCCTAAATCCTCAATTCTGATTGTACCATGGGAAGACTTCCCTTTGAAGCAGGTCATTCACGCCTCTCAACACTTGCTAACCTTCCTTGACAGAAGACAGCCTGCCTTTAAGCACAACAGTCTTTCACTGGAAAATATGCTAAAAATATAATATGCTAAAAATTTTAATACATTTTTATTCACTGTTCATTTTAGTGGTCCCTTCTACTTAAGTTTTTAAATGTCTATTTAAGTTTTTTTTTTTCAAGAAAAAAACAATTTAGGTACAAGAAATTGACAGAAATCTGAGGCTAACAGACAATGACTGAAATTTGGAAGATACAGTTCTAGGTTTCTGATTTGGGCACTTTCTTCTAATGGTCTACTCAGGACTGCTCTTTTTATACTTCATATCCATAAACATATGTTTTAATTCTCACATGTTGCTGTACAATGAAGTTGATCTAAATGTGACATTCCCCAAGGCACTACTGGGAAATTGTTTTATTGACAGAAGTTTTGTATGTCTTTGTGCCGCCTTGTCTGTGACTCACACGTTCAAAGTAATAGATCTAATTGGAGGCCCCCTTTATTTGTGCCCAGAATTCACCTGTTTCAGAGAACTGCTTGGTTTTGATAGCACAGAGAAAGCCTGCACTAATTTGTCTTACTGTCCGTAGTTTACTTATTTTTGGCTGCGTTGGTCTTCATTGCTGCGCGCAGGCTTTCTCTAGTTGCGGCGAGCAGGGGCTGCTCTTCCTTGTGGTGCGCAGGCTTCTCATTGCAATGGCTTCTCTTGTTGCAGAGCATGGGCTCTAGGCGTGCAGGCTCAGTAGTGGTGGCACACGGGCTTAGTTGCTCTGCGGCATGTGGGATCTTCCTGGACCAGGGCTCGAACCTGTGTCCCCTGCATTGGCAGGCGGATTCTTAACCACTGCACCACCAGGGAAGTCCCCGTACGTAGTTTGATTTGTCATTTGAGTTGAGTTGTTCCTCTGCTGTTATGTTCCACTACAGAAACTGCACAGCTCCTCCTGGTGGTCTCCGACGGACGCGGCCTTTTCTTTGAGGGCAAAGACAGAGTCCTAGCAGCAGTTCAGGCCGCCCGGAATGCTAACATCTTTGTCATTTTTGTTGTGTTGGACAATCCCAGTTCACGGGTGAGCGATTACTAAAAGCCACTTTCCTGGGGATTCCCTTCAAGTTGTTCTATCTGAAGAATGGCCTGGGTCTCACAGTCATACCGAGAACTCCTATAACATTCATGGCATCCTGAAGGGCACTGTTCTAGGCATTTTATAATTATTTTCTCATGTAACCGAGCAGTAACTCAGTGATGTAGGGATGGTTATTCCCACTCTACAGTGAAGGACAGAAGCACAGAGGTTGTAGGTAATGACAAGGAAGCCAGTATTCAGACTGACTCAGTCTGTCCTCTTAACCACTTTCTGTGCTGACTAGTACTCTGGTGGGTCATCTCCCTCTGCACAGCGTCGCTGCAGGTATCGCAGCCTCGATGATGGGCCCTGTCCGTTGGAAACGTAGACCAGCCTTTCCAAGTACTTGGATCTCAGCAGTGCCCTCCTCAAAGGAGGAAGCATCAGTCGCTACATGAAAGATGCCCACGGGGTGGTCTGTTCCCGGGGAAGTACCGTCTCTGCAGGTCACATTAAGGCCCGGAGTGCAAGCTGAAAATTTAACATGAATTATTCCAAGTAGAGAATAGGAAATACCACTGTAGGGAAATCAGGTTTGCTTATCTACCCCTTTCCTTCCCTTTTAGTGGCCATTCTCCTGGAAGGGGTGCTCAGAAAGAGATCTGCCGCCTCCTTATTGAGAGTTCTGTTTTACCTAGTAATAAGAGCTATTTTTATAAGCAGGAATTAGACATGTGAGACCTAAAAATTGTCTGCAAAGGAGATCATAAAAGAGCTAGCCAAGGACACTGATTTAGTTTTATTTCTAAATGTTTTTTTTTTTGCCAGGATTCTATCTTGGACATCAAGGTACCAATATTTAAAGGGCCTGGAGAGATGCCTGAAATCCGATCCTACATGGAAGAGTTCCCATTCCCGTTCTATATAATCCTACGCGATGTGAACGCACTTCCCGAGACGCTCAGCGATGCTCTCAGGCAGTGGTTTGAGCTGGTGACAGCCTCTGACCACCCGTAGAACAGAAGGAACACAGTCCTAAGTGAGACTTTGCGGTCAGAATGTCACACTGCTTGCCGGGTGCTCCCTTTTGGACAACTGTTTCTGAACTCCCAGCTCAAAAATGGTATTTAATCTTAGATTTGATTTATAATCATTCACCCAACAGCTACAAAAAATTTTATTGCAACATTTTATTTTACAACACGATTTCAGAGCCTAGAGAAAACTCATGCTCCCTGCTGTGCCTGGGCTCCAGTGCTTGTAATAAACTTGGGGTGAAGGAACAGCAGCAGCAGGTGTCTGGTCATACCTCGGGGGTGGGGTGGCGCTGCCCTTCGGGCTCGTCTCAGAAGTCCTGGCCCAAGAGGGGGCTGCACCCCACCCTTGGCGCCCAGCTGCCTGCCTTCCCTCCCAGGGACCCTGGACACCTCCATGAGGAGATGCTGCTGGAAGCATGGGACTGTGCCAGGCCTCTGGGCAAAGGACTAAAGGGAACTTTCCTTTTGACCCTGCGCTAATCACAGTGTGTACCCGAAAGCTGTCAAGTGGTTAAGGCAGCTGTGGGTGTTTTTAGAGAGTCTTTTTTTTTTTTTTTTTAACTGTGCTTCTTGTGAAAGGAACTAACTTCTCTACGAGGGGAGGAGGCTTGTGGTATGTGTGTGTGTTTTTTTATAAAACAACCAGACATCATGGGAGCCCAAATCATCAGACAATGACCCTTGGGCCATGTATGAATGAAATGGCTTTTCAGTGTCCTCCCCTTCACCTTTGCTGCTTCGGGAGACTATGCAATGATGGAAGGATGATTTTTCCTTTATTTCATTCTCTGTGCCATAGTTCCTGCTGTTGTAGTAATTTATTTCTTTAGTTCATTTTTTCTTAACAGTTAAGAGGAAGAATCATTCCTCACACTGATTTCAAGTTGAACTGAGCCTGTCTTATGCTGGAAAAGAAGTGCTGTATCAGAAGAACTAAGCAGCCACATCTTTTTTTCCAGTCAAAAATCCATCAACAAGTTTTTAGGCAGTTTTTACTTGGACAAAAAGCAGTGCTTGAATACTTAACTGTGTGCTGTGTTCTCTTTAAGCTCTGTCAGATGTTCTTTCGTAGACAACATGCCATGACGTAATCATCTATCTCCGTGTCTGTTATCAAGTTACACTGTGAAGTGTGCCACCCTTTTGAGGTGGTCCTCAAAGACAGTTTGCTTGTTGTTTAACCAGGTGTCCTAAAGCATGTACCTGAGGTTATATCATTTTTTATTCTAAAAAGCTATGCAGCTTATATTCTGAAAACTATTAAAAAATATACCACTGTTGATGTAACTTGTGCTGCTCCAAGATGAAATCTGAGTGTAAGAGATGTATCACTGGCCAAAGGCCTCTGTGGGGCCGGAAGTTTAATCTTCCAGCAGGGAGGGAAGACACTGACATTATGACTGTGATGCGGTCCATCATATCTACCTTTAATTGACAGGACAAGCTAAGCTGAAGCATCCCAACTGATGTACCAGCATAAGTGATTCCCTTGGCCCTGGGATAGCTAATAGGGTCTGGAACAGACGAATTTCAGTAAGCAAGTTACCCAAGAGTGCTAGCTTCAGTTTGTGCTGTGACAGGAAAAGGGTTGGGAAGCACAGGAGCAGACACAGGAGACCCATCAGGAACTGAGGGCGTTGGTTAGGAAGAGTGACATACCTGAGTCCTTAGAAGAAGCGGCTGCGGATAGGCTTGCTCTCTCACACACCCTCACGTGGAGCTCAACCTTTACATTTGCCTTACCTTCCTCTCCACCTCCATCCAAACCCCAATCTTGTCCGATCTAACTTCTGGATATTTACCTTATTCTGTCTTCCCTTTTGCTTTCCTCTGACTGCAGTGCAGCTGGAGCTCTCTTACAATGTAGCGTGAGGGGGACTTCCCTGGGGGTAAAGAATCCACCTTCCAATGCAGGGGACACAGGTTCGATCCCTGGTCAGGGAACTAAGATCCCACACGCCACGGGGTAGCGAAGCCTGCGCACCTCAACTAGAGAGCCTGTGTGCCGCCAACTACGAGCCCACGCACCCCAAGTAGAGAGAAGCCCGCGCACCACAACAAAAGATCCCGCGTGCCGCAACTAAGACCCAACGCAGCCAAAAAAAAAATTTTTAATAAATATTAAAATGTAGCTTGGACTACTGATCACTTTGCTAGCTTCACTTCGTCATACTCACAACGTCCAAGGAGATCTTTCTGAATTCCTGTGAAGAAGGTACCATTTGTTGCTTCTTAGCACTACCTGCCTTCCCTGTCCCTTCTCTCCCAGCATCCCCACCACACTATTTGATCTGATCACAGCAAACCACACGGGCCTTGGAATCTGCCAGTGTTCCATGCATTCTTTGTCTAGAATTCTCTTACCCACTTGGCCTTTCTGACTTTGCCTAGCTCAGATAAGCCCTCCAAGAAGAATGAGCTCCCACAGTATGAGCCTTGACAACATCTATAAATACTATGTTGGACTTAAGTCTTCCTACCCAAAGAGTGATTCTAAGGACAGGGGGCATATATGACTCGTGACAGCATTACCAATGTCTAGCATGAGTGAATCTTTCTGGATGGGAAGAAATAGTATAAAAATGTCAGTTCTCACTTTATAGATTCAACGCATTCAAAATTTCAGTAACGATTCTAAGATGATTTAGAGGAAAATAATACAAAACATTTCTAAAGGTCATACAGACCATTAATAGAAGACTCTTACAAGATACTACAGGGGAGTATTCCTGCCTAATAATAATACATACAACAACAACAAAGTAAAAACAACCTGGATGAAATTATCCTGAGGGTTATTCAGACCCTAAAAGAATTTACCAGGAGTGTCACAAATCCCAGGAATATGCATGAATTAGTTAATAAATGGTGCTGAAATTATAGTTTACAACTGGAAAAGAACTTATATCCCCATTATGCTATAAACTAAAATCCTTGGTAAACATTAACTGAAAATTTTTTAAAGTTCTGAAGGGGAGAAGATGAAATTGAAAAGGCTCAAAAAAGAACGGAAAATACATATGACTATATAGAGACTTAAAGCTATAAAAGGAAAAGGATCAAAGTTTAAAAAAATATGGCAAACAGCCCATATAAAATTAGAATAAAAGTCTGGTTCAACATAAAGGGACCAAAGTCATAACAATTCACAAAATAAGTGTAACTAAAAGTGGCAAGGGATATTTAACTTCACTACTGTTTAAGAGAAAAAAAATCAGTGAATTGCTAATTAGTAGACAAATTTTGAAATATGTGGTTATGGTATTAGCATCATTCACACAATGCCTGGTAATGTTCAAAATCTTTAGAGTGCTTATATGCGCCAGGTTCTGTTCTCAGTGCACTACATACAATACGGTACAACAGCAGCTCTGGGGTAGATGCTGTTATTTCACTTTACAGACGAGGAAACACACACACAAAAGTAGCCAGAAGTACACAACTGGGAAAAGGGAGTTCCAAGGATTCCAAGCAAGGCAATCAAGTAAGTGCTCAGTGAACGAACGGGTAATTGAACACTTTGGGCTGTATTTTAATTCAGAACAATCCTGTTTTTTAAAAAGTAGAAGGGATTCACTAACCCCTTACAGTTAATATAACCTAAGAGCATAAGGAGTGTGTTGAGGGGAGGATAAAACGATTATAGGGGAAAAAAAGCAAGGCGTAGGGATGTTTGGTTCCTCGTTACTAGTTACACAAAATTCTCAAAACTGCAATGGGACAACCATTTAAAGCCTTGTAACTAAGGACGATCATGAAGACTACAACGCCAGGAAAAATGCTCGCAGTAGAAAAGAACAGGGACAAGAACGAGAAAAGGAGACGAGCACAACACAAACTAAGAGAAATTAACATTTAAATTTTTAGAATTTTTCACTATACGCACTAAATCTCAAAAAGAATATACTAAAATAGTTTTCTTCCCTCACCCCCTAAATCCTTTCATTTAATGAAACTTAACCACGTGTCAGGAACTGGGCTACCTCACCACTATCTCATTCTTAACAACCTGTGAAGCAGGAACTGTTATCCTGTTTCACGGATGAGCAAACAGGCTAAGACAAAGCGAAACTGCCTTGAGCTTCAGTTCCGACTGCCCGACTGCCGGGCTCCCGTAGCCAGCGCAACTGCCGCCGGCCGCCTCCCGGGAAACCGAGCTCGCCCCGCCCCGTCACCGCCCCACTTCCGCCCCTGCGCACTGGGGCTCTGGCGGACCGCGCTGTCTGGACGTGATGGCAGCTTACCGCTTACCCCCAGCGACGCTAACGCTAAAGCAGGTACCAACTATCCTCGCCGGCCTCTTAGGGCAGCTTTACTGGGCCTGAGCTCGATTCTCTACCGCCCCCTGCACCCATTCTATAGAGGGGTCTCGGGGACTACTGGGGCGGACGACCCTGTGCGCGCCCCACTCTGATTGGCTCGGGCGGGGGGGGGGGGGGGGGGGGG